AGATGTCGCGGAAGTTCTCAAACACATTAGCCTACAACAACACGTTGATCTTAAGATATAGGTCGCTGTACTCACCGAGAGTTGAGCAGTCGAAACGGTTCCACACCTCTGTGGCGTGTCTATAGTCGTCGTCATGGATATTCGACTCATTCAATTGACTATAGAAAGCGTCGCGGAGTGGTAGTACCGTTTCGTCCGATTTAGCCCAACTATCAGTGTACTCGTAAGGGTATACGCCCGTCTTTATCCACACGTCATAAGCGACCTTACTACCCTCTGCCGGCATAACGGGTAAAATTGGTTTATTCTTACCGCATATCAACTTGTGTTGCTCCAACGCTTGTTGACCCCGAAGAATATACTTTTTAGGCATATCATCAAAGCTGGTGAAACAACATTTACAAGTGTATATGCGGCCAAGATGTTGAGTTTTTTGGCTGCGTACGAGTCTCGACAAATCTGAAATGTACGCGTAATGATACTCGTCAGAGTCACCGATGTACAACAGGTCAAAATGATTCTGTTGTTCTTGGTCGGTGACTCTTAGCGGATACACCGACCACTTCATCTTAACGTTGTCCAGTTCCAAGCCATACACGTTAACGGACACGTTAGGGTTACGTCGTTCAAATATTTTAATTTGTGACACAGGTGTGGGGAACGTCAACCCCATGAAATTATACCTGTATTCCTCGTTAAAATATTTTTGATTAACACGCGTATTATTATTAACGCCAACGTGTCTCGCCAAAATGGGCCACTTGAAACTGGACTGATCGATGTTTTGTGGGTTGATGATTGCCTTTCTATGTAAAATTTCGGGTGGGACCGGAATATATGATGAGCCAGCGAGGGGCGTATACTTGTATACGCTGAGCATGAGACCGTCGATATGTGCTAGCGTGAATACGCTACCCCTATCCGAGTACACATCTTCCTCAGCGAGCATAATCTCTAAATCGTCATTGACAGCACCTACAATATCCGTGTCGGACAACAACGCCCTAGCCCGTGTCTTGAAGGCACGGTCCTCGGGCGGTGCTTTGATCGTGGTATATGGTAAGAGGCCTCCAATTTGAGATTATATTTAATAGGCCGAACAGCTGTGATTTCACCGAGTTTGACAACCAGCTCGGTATATCACGATCAAAATGACCAAAGTATATCAAGTGATCTGAGAAAAAATATTCATCTTTCTACATGTTATACAGCACTTGTTACATTATATTTTTTTTTTTTTATAAACGTCACCCAAGAAAATTAGCTGATAAATTGAATCGTTATTTATAATAGCGTGAAAATTAAAGTGAAATGTTTACACATATAAGTCATTAGGATTTAAAACAGATGCCTTTGTAAAAATTATGGCCGTCTGCCGTCTCTAATGCGTTGACGAATGAAGAATGCAATCCGTCCAGTCGAAGCTATTATTTTATTAATAATAATTAATTACAGTTGTTAAATACAGTAATAATTTATAACAATGGGAGGGATACCAGTAATAATTCAGACAAAATATATGTACGACATTAATCGATAAGTATAATACAGATTATAATAGTATTATAAACATTATAATATATATATTCAAGTGATTAAGTCGTCGTCGCCGCCGACGACGTCGGTAGTAGTAGTGTTTATTTAAGAATGTGTTTTGCTATAAGAAAACTCTAACAGTCGTCATTATTATATATTGTCGACAAAAAAAAAAATACTGATTTATTATTCACAATACCAATAACGGTCAAACTTATAGCTCGTATATTAACAATTAATGTAATTGACGGCGACATCGCCGCCGCGTTGGGCCATCTGCTGTATTAATCTCAAGTGCTATAGTGTAATCATGAATACAGCCATCTGGCACACAATGGCACAATTCCTGTTTAAAAGAAAAAGAGGCAAACGACAGTTTATTACATCAAAACTTGTTGCCGCTTTTGACAAATGTAAAGTAAGTGATAGAAATGCCGTACACTTGNGTAAGTGATAGAGATGCCGTACACTTGTTAATAGCAACTATAGAGGCTCTAAATTTAGATCCTAGTGAGTTGGTTATTAACCGAACTTCTATTCACCGTTGTCGTGAACTTCTAAGGACCGAACACGCACAAAAAATTTTTGAGAAGTTTCATGAAAAAAATATTAGATCAGTTACTGTTCATTTCGATGGCAAATTATTGCCATCACTAACTAGTAATGTAAAAATTGATAGGCTACCTGTACTTATAAGTTTCAATGGTAATGAGCAACTTCTTGGCGTTCCTTTTATTAAATCAAGTACAGGAAGAGAACAAACTTCAGCAATTCATAGTTTATTAGTAGAATGGTATATTGAAAATAAAGTTCAGGCTATTTGTTGCGACACAACAGCCTCTAATATGGGGAGATTACAAGATGCTTATATTATTTTAGAGCAATACCTCGAAAGGGACCTTTTATAAAATTGCTTTATCTAGTGGACCAAATATACCATTGTTTAAAAAATTTAAAAAAAGTTGGGCACAGATTAAAGACTGTACAATAAATCCAGTTTTAGAAAATATTACGGTTAAAACACAATTAAACGGCTTAAAAAGTAAATTAATTTTGTTTATAATGTAAAAAATAAAAATTAATCAACCAAGAGAAGACTATAGAGAACTTCTTAATTTGGCAATTATTTTTCTTGGCGGTGATCATTATACAAATATTTCTATTAGATCTCTTGAAGCTTTTCATCACGCCAGATGGATGGCAAAAGCCATTTATTGTTTAAAAAATTTTCTTTTTCGAGAGTCTTTCGAGCTAACAAATGACGAACGGGTTGGTGTTCGTGATATTTGTATATTTTTGGTAAGAATTTATTTAAAATACTGGTATTCTGAAAATAATTCTATTGAAGCTCCTCGTATGGACTTAGAATGCATGAATAATGTTTATGAATACACAAAAATTGTCGATGCCGTAGGTTTAATAGCACTTAAGAAATTTAGCAACCAATTATGGTATCATGCGCCTGAAAATGCCTCAATGGCATTTTTTGATGATTAAATACCTGTTGAAATAAAAAGACTTATGGTAAAATCATTACAAACTAATGAATGTGAAGACTTAAAAAAAATTAATCCGCCAAGAAATATAAAACATTTTGTAAGTAAAACTATTGACAAGTTCATTAAGGCAAACTCAAAATTTTTTTTTAAACGTTTTGATATGAAAACTAGTTTTTTAAGCAAAGATTATAGAAAACATTTTCCTGATGCAAAAAAAAACACATTAATGAAATAATGATGATTATTTAATAATAATTGATAATAAATTTCCATAATATTTTTTTAGTTGTGTTTTTTTATAATTAAAGTTTATTTTTATTATTTATTAGTTTTATATTATATGTTTTAATCAGTTATATGTTATAAGACCAAGATTTAGAATTAGAAAATATTTTACTAAACAATATTTGTACATAATTTTCAAATCTAAATTTTATAATTTATATAGATTTTTGATATTAGAATGTCGCATATCAAAATAGCGGATTCGACGTTTAAAATTTGTACTTTTCACCGTAAACATAGCTTACCTGGAAAATGCATTTTTTTTTTTTCGTCAAAAAACCGATATTATGTATATATGGCCGAGTATAATTTAGGCGCGTGACAAGTTGTGTTAGTTTACGTCGTGTTTCATCACTCCTCCCCCACCTATAGGTTTGTTTATCTTAAGTTACATTACCCCTCTCTCATAAGACTTGGTGGAGGAGGAGAGGTTCTTCTTAGGTTAGTTTACGTTGGATTTTCTCCCCCTCCACCCTTCTCCCCTTTTCCACTGTTGTATGGTGGGTAGGTGAAGCGGGGGGAACCAGGATTCCCATTTTCACCCTACTACCATGTTCGATCGTTGTTAGAAATGAAAAATTTAGCAAGTTCAGCTTCAAAGGATTTTTATCCTAACTTTTTATCGACGTTTGATAAGCATGTGGAAGCTCTTCGTTCTTTAAAACGACCGGTTGAGCATTGGGATGATCTGTTAGTGGGGATTGTACGAAGAAATTGGATCTTGCTACACTGGAAAATTGAGATTTGTCGCATAAGGCCAATGACGACGTGACGTTTAAAATGCTTTATGATTTTCTAGAGACACGTGCAAGTTCCTTAGAGTCGTTTGAAGGACTAGTATGTCAAGGTCGTCAGGTAAACATGTCGAAGGCAAGTAACCGTGGTTCGACTGTGTTATCGGTACAAAGAAGAGTTAAAATTTGTCTCATCTGTTCACAAACTCATATGATTTACCACTCCCCTAAATTTAAATCTATGTCTTTAACTAACAGATATAGCGAGGTAAAGCAGAAGGGTCACGGTACAAGATATTGCAAATCACAATTATGTCGGCATTGTGGTAAGAAACATAATTCTATGTTGCATGGATTACCGTACCAGTCTACGAATGCTACTTCCACTCCTAATAGAGCAGATGAAGCACCTACTAGTGTGTTAGTGCCATCAGAACAACCACAAGCTAGTTCTACGAGTTCAATGACTGCACCTGGTAGTTCTGTTGCGGTTCACAATGCATGTACAAGTACCCAAGTCTTATTAGCCACTGCGGTTGTTATGGTGCAGAACAGTCGCGGTAAAAGGCTTTCATGTCACGCCATATTGGACAATGGATCACAAATCAACATATTGACACAAAAAATGACCAGGCGCTTAAACTTGGACGTTAAAAATGCCATGTTACCAATCTGTGGAATTAATGGGGTTAACACAAGGTCATCTCAATGGACAAATTTATCTTTTTTCGCTGTTCATTCTTCCTTCAGTAAAACTATTGGTTGTCACATAATACCAGCTATAACGGTCTCGTTGCCGTCACAGTCCTTTGATGTTAGTGGATGGAGTCTACCCGACAATGTATGAAATGCGTTGACGGATCCTGAATTCAACATATCATCAGAAGTAGATTTATTATTGGGCGCTGAGATATACTATGAGCTAATTCGTTCACAGCCGTTGGTGATGCCAGAAGGTTTGCCTTGGTTGTACGATACGGCTCTTGGTTGGGTAATTTCGGGCCCTTTGTCAAAGGATGATGATCATAGCGTTGTCGAGGTATCCACCGTCTGTGCACTAGGAACAACCACTGCGTGGATGAATTCAGAACCATTAATCAGGCAGTCGAAACATGAGGAGGAGTTAGCGTTTGAAAGATATTTTCAAGACACTCATAGTCGATTAGCGGATGGGCGTTTTGTCGTTCGACTACCGTTTCGAATAGAACCATCACTGCTTGGGGGTTCAATGAATATGGCTCTTAAGCCATTCCTGACACTTGAGAAAAAAATGTGTAATAATTCAGAGTTGGCATCAGAGTATAAAAAGTTTCTCAAGGAATATGAAGAGATGGGCAACATGTCGAAAATAGAAGATACCGTCGCAACACCCGGTACTTATTATTATATACCTCACCATGTGGTGTATAAAGATTCAAGTAGCATCACCAAGTTGCGAGTTGTTTTCGATGCTTCTATGAAAATCACTACTGATTATTCTCTGGATGATATTCTGATGACCGGTCCTGTCGTGCAACAAGAGCTTTTCGATATAGTGCTGCGTTTCCGTTACTATTTGTACGTGGTTACTGCAGATGTTGCCAAGATGTACCGTCAGGTCCTCGTCCATGAGAATGATCGACATTTTCAAAGAATATTATGGCGCGATGCACCTAACAAGCCTTTACAACATTATGTACTTAATACTGTAACTTACTGGACGGTTCCCGCTTCGTTTTTAGCCACTAGAGTTCTTCAGGAGTTAGCACTTGGCAGCTCTACTAAATATCCTAAGGCAAGCTTATCAATACTACAAGACTTTTACATGGATGATTACCTTAGCGGTGCTGACAGCATGGAGGATATAAAGACCCTGTATCAGGAGGTTTCTAAAATATTAGGAAATGGTGGTATGCACCTGCGTAAATGGTGTTCAAATGCTGAGGAATTACTCTCACAACGACTGCTCCCGTAGATAATAGGTTACTTCAATATTTTTCGACCTGGCACAAGTTGTTGCGCATGACTGCCATATGGAAGCGGTTTATTGCCTGGGTCCGTCGTAGAGCGAAACCTACATCGCCTCAACCAGGAACAGGTCCTCTTAGTGTTATTGAGCTTAATGACTCACGTGATATCTGGATTAAATTTGCTCAGCAACAGGCTTTTTCAGCAGAGATACAAGAATTAAGCAAGGGTAATTCCGTAACTAAGGGACCGTTAAAAAATTTATCGCCGTTCCTTGACAAAGGGATATTGCGAGTTGGAGGTCGTTTGAAACATTTTGAATTAGATTTGAACCAGAAACATCCAACGTTGCTACCACGCAATCATCGGGTGACTCAAATGATATTCGAAGCCTACCTAGAAGTTCCTACATATCGGTCCTCAAGGTTTACTTGCAAATATTCGTGCACATTTTTGGCCATTAAAAGGCAGAGACATAGCACGCATAACCGTTAACAAGTGTGTAAAATGTTTTCGAGCGAAGCCCATTCCAATGCAACCATTAATGGGGCAGTTACCAGCTGCGCGAGTGACCGCAAATCGGCCGTTTACGCACACTGGAATTGATTTCGCAGATCCTATTATGATTAAGGTTGGAATACGTAAGAGCACATTAATCAAGACTTATGTTAGTGTGTTTCTTTGTCTATCTACTAAAGCTGTACATCTTGAACCCGTCAGCGATCTGAGTGCCGATGCCTTCATGGCTTGTTTACGACGTTTCATTTCACGACGTGGTTTGCCATCTCATATTTGGTACGATAATACCACTAATTTCGTGGGAACTAGACGTGAAATAATCAAATATTATGCAAAACAAAGATCTGGAAGAACTGTATATGATGAACTGCTTGATGAAGGTATACAATGAATTTTTATACCACCATCAGCGCCGCACTTTGGAGGCGTTTGGGAAGCGGCCGTCAAGTCATGTAAGTATCATTTGGTACGCACTATTTTGGGCACGAGTTTTAATTTTGAAGAGTTGTGTACCGTACTTGCTCAAGTTGAAGCGTGCTTGAACTCAAGACCCTTAACACCGTTATCTTCAGATCCGTGCGATTTTAATGTTCTAACACCTAGTCATTTTTTAATTGGTGGACCTGCTCAGGTGATACCAGAACCGGATCTTTTGAATATACCAGCAAATCGACTACGAAAATGCTCATTGATGCAAAAAACAATGCAAGACTTTTGGTGTAGATGGAGAATGGAATATTTGTCTTCGTTACAGGTGAAGAATAAGTGGTTGAAGGATAAAAAACCTATTCCTATTGGATCATTAGCAATTTTAAAGGAAGATAATGCACCATCATTAAAATGGCCTATGGTAAGAATAGAAGCTGTGCATCCGAAAAGGGACAAGATAGTTCGAGTGGTTACGGTAAGACTAGCCAATGGTAACCAGCTGAAACGACCTGCTGTCAAGATATGCCCATTGCCAGATTGTTAAGTGTATTGAAGCACAATGCTTCAAAGGAGGCGAGATGTTCGCGCTGATTAAAAATACTAGATAGCGCGCTTATTCAGTTCTGTCCACTCATCCTCCCTTCCTCTCCCGGACCCTGGGCGTCGTCGGCCGGTTATCATTGCCGGTCGACATGTGTTTTTAATAAGATTTAGTATCATTTTTTTTTCTCTTCTTTGTTTTTTCAGACAGTTGAATTTTTTGTTGTAAGTCACACGGATGGCATTTTTTATTTTGTAAGTCACACGGATGGCATTTTCTATTTTGTAAGTCACACGGATGACGTTTTTTATTATTTTATTTAAATTCCACGGATTATGTTTAATATTTTCAATTGCAAATCATTAGATTAAAATATTTGCCTATGAACATTGGCATATAATAATTGTATACAAAAATCTGATTGGTGCGTTTGGCAGTTACTGTTACATTTATGTAAATTATTAGCACATTATATTCATTATTGTTATTTTTATTATTGTTATACCACACGGATGTTTTGATTATAAAATTTGTCATTTTGTACTGAATTGTTTATTGTTATTTGTATAAACTTATTTTTATGTGAGCCAACAATCACAGTCTTCTTTCTGTATAAATTTAAATACAAAGATCCTTTCTTATTAATCATCAGGTATTCGAGATATTATTTCTCACCCTGGTATTAACATTTGGTCCAATCGGGCCTGATTTATTATACAGTCCATTCGTAATAAGTTGATTTTTTACTTTTTTTTCTAAATCAAATTGTTAAGCAACAGTGATAAAACTTAATTGACGTGCTGCTGTGATATGTATGTATAATAAAGAAAAACAACTATGAAGTTATAATGTTCAGCTTAAATAGCTTGTTGTTTTTTTTTCTGGTTGAAATATTATTTGTAGTTTTACTTTTATACTTGATTCTTGTTTGTTTAATTATTTTTCCAGCAATTAGTTTCAGAAAAAATATTATAATTATTGATATATTTTCAATTGTTACATTATTGTACTAGTGTGTGGTGTTAAATAAAAAAATAAAAAGTAATAAAAAATAAAATAAAAATCATAAATGATAAAAAATATATAATATATATACTCAGTGAAAATTAAAAATTTTTTAATTAGAGTACTAAATTAAAAAAAATATATATTGGTGGCATAAAAAAAAAAAAAAATGAGAAAAGAAAAAATTTATTAAAATAAAAATATTATATTTATAAGATCCACTCACCCACACTTATTTATTAAGTTTTTCACCTTTATTTAATGTACCTATACTGTTGGTGATTTTTTGGTCAATTGTTATTACTTTGACAATCTGTGAAAAATCTAAAAGATCTAAAAGGTATTTTGAGTCAATTGAATCGAACATTCAGTAAAATTTTGGTTCTTTGACGGTTCTTGATTCGCGAATCGCAAGTATGATTCGCGATTCGGATTAGGGATGTGTCGTATAAATAAATGACATATGAATATGTTATCATTGATATTTGGTAAGCGATCGATCGGTTCAGTGTGATTTATACGGGAAAAAATTAGGTATTCAGAGGGGATCTGGATCACTATGGTTCGGCGATCTGAATCATTTCGTTTAGTATTTTGACCTGTTCAATGCGATCCGTCCGTTTGCGAACGACTCATCTCTAATGGTAATACATGGAGTAACAAACTAACCAATTAAGATGATTAGAGTATATGTATTTTATCATTTTCTTATCCATAAATTTAGTAATTAGTTAATTCAAGTTTTAATTCGATATAAATATTTAAGTTGATTACGTTCAAATACATATAACAAACTAATTAAATGACTAAGTAAAAAAATTTTTAGATTACGAGAAATTTAAGTAGAATTATATATATTTTAAATTAAAACTAATTTAATATAAGAATAATAGATAAAAGCATCATTTAAAAATTAAATTATTATTTATATACGCGATGAAAGATTTAATAAAATTTAAGTGTTTCTATAGTGTTTTATTTTAATATAAAGGAACACAAATTATAATGAAAAAAAAAAAAAGTAAAAAGTAGAAAAATTCAAAAGGCTTGAAGGGAAAATCCAGAATAAAAAAAAGCCAAACCACAACTCCAACAAGAAAACTGCAGTTGTCAATTTAACTGACAAGGAATTGACTAATAATGAACTAATTATTCTGGAAAAAGCTTTTAATTTTTCGTTAGTTCCAAAGAAAATCCCAAAGGAGGACATTATAAGCAGTATAGAAAACTCGCTATACCAACTTGAAAACCATGAGAAAGAAATCATCAGACAAGAAAGTTGAAAAATTCTAAGAGAAGTAATCTTACCAAAACAAAACTACAACAAAGATGAGTTAACTGCACTCAAAAATTTAAGGAACGACAACAATGTCATAATACTTAGAGCAGATAAAGGGAACGCAACAGTAATCATGAAAACCACAGAATATAATAACAAGATGAAGAAATTACTGGAAGAAGGACCGTATAAAATCATTAAAAGAAATCCACTGAACCGAATAATCAAACTAGTTAATGATGAAACAAAGAAAGCAATACTAGATGGAAAAGAACGAAAACAACTACTAGTGACAGTTCTAAGATTACAAAGAATATACGGAGTCCCAAAAATACACAAGAATGATGTGCCGCTCAGACCTATAGTCAGTGCCATAAACTCGCCTACATATAACTTAGAAGGTCACTTAGCAAGAATTCTGAAAACTAACACAGGAAAAACGTCTTCTTATGTGAAAAACTCGACGGACTTTGTGGAAAAACTACAACAAGCAAATTGGGAAGAACGAGACATTCTCGTCAGCTTCGATGTTGTTTCGTTATTTACGATGGTGCCAGTGAGGGACACACTGAATATTATAAAAGAGAAAAAATGGATAGATGAAAAACTACAAAGCTTATTGGAAATATGCACCAAAACAACAGTTTTCACATACCAAGATACTATCTATGAACAAACTGATGGAATGGCAATGGGATCAAGACTAGCACCAGTATTTGCCAACATATTTATGGAATGGTTTGAAGCGGAAGCAATGAGCACGTATACTCAAAAACCAAAAATGTGGTTGCGATATGTAGATGACACATTCGTTTTATGGCAACACGGCGAGGACAAACTACAATCTTTCCTGCAACACTTAAACAGCATACACGCCAATATACAGTTCACAATGGAAACTGAGGAAAACGGAAAATTGCCATTCCTAGATGTAATGGTAAAAAAAAAGCCTAATGGGAAATTCAGCACAGGAGTGTATAGAAAAAGTACACATACAGATAGATATTTACATGCCGATTCACACCATTGCCCCTCACAGAAAATGGGATTATTACACACAATGGCAACAAGAGCTGTCAGAATAGCTGATGAAAACCATGTGAATGAGGAAAAAACATACTTACGACAAGCACTAAAGAATAATGGGTACACAATTAAAAATATTAATAAGGCAATTAAAAAAGCAGAGAAAAGAAAAAATGCAACGCGTATCATGGATGACGAAAATAATGAAGATGAAAAGAAAGGAACATTAATACTGCCGTACATACAGGGAATTACCGACCGCATATCAAGAATCACACAAAAATTCAAATTAAGAACCGTTTTCAAACCAAACACAGTAGCAGGATCACTACTCCGAAACCCGAAAGATAAACTGCCAGAGATGAAAACACCAGGAGTATATAAAATACCATGTTCATGTGGTAAATCTTATATTGGACAAACAGGAAGAGCTATTGCGACAAGAATAAAAGAACATGAAAAAGATGTGGAGTACCAAAGAACAGAAAAATCTGCAGTAGCTGAACATGCCAAAAACAAAGGACATGACATACAATTCGATAAAGTAAAAATACTTAACAAAGAACCTCATTTTGGCAAACGGATGTACAAAGAAGCAATAGAAATCGAAAAATGTCCGGAAAATTTTAACAGAGAAGATGGATGGAAAATCTGCAACACTTGGGTTACCTATCATACACCAGACAAAAAGGAAATTAACCAACAACAGCGAAAATAATTCAATATACGAAGAGGCAACAATCAACATAACAAATAATTGCCGGTGTAGGAAAGGAAGACCGAAATGTCAAGAATGCCGTAAACAACGTTAGTCAAAAATCGAGATGTTGTCAACGACATTAGTCAAAAACCCGAAACGTTCAGCAACATTAGTCAAAAACCCGGATACAGTAAACTACATTAGTCAAAAACCAGATGTGGTCAACAACATTATCATTATTTAAAACCCTGATACGGCAAACAACGTTAGTCAAAAATCAGATGTTATCAATTTTATAAAACAGACTGTTATCAAAATAAGCCGCCAGTATAGTTGCAGCCACCGACTAGCAACCATCACTCTGAAGATGGACTCTGCAATGAGTCCGAAACGTCAGAACTCAACTGTAAACATGAATATATCCTCAAGCACTTCAAGCAACAAAACAATCCATGAAAGTTTTAATACATTCATAAATTATAATGAGTTTTTACTAAAAGTTTTTATTTGAAAATCAATGAATTACTATCAAAATTTGTATAAAAAATAAGAGCAGACGCACATATGTGGTGAAGCAGGTATTCTACGCCCGTTTCCAGCCACTTGGAAGAGTACCAATAGGAAGAGTCAAAGTCAATACTACAATGTAACGTTCACTATAAGTACTGATCACTTATTTCGTGGTCATGTCTCCTTTTATATTTTAAGATTACAGCAATAACAACTTAATACAAGGTTAATATTTATAAATCAGAAAACATCATTAAAATGTAATCTTAACATCTAAATTAAAAGACTATTAAGAGTTAACACATTAAAAATGCCGTTTACAACCCATATAAAGATAATATAATCCGTTATAAAATATTTTTTGCTAATGTCATCTTGTATAAAGAACAACATGTTTAAAAATCTTCAAGGTGCATAGTACCCTTATATATGATGTACATATGCAGGCACGTAGCCAGAAAATGTTTATTGGAGGGGCCAACAATTTTAGGCCCTTGTATCATTTTTAATAATTTGTTTCCCATGAAAAGCTTGTGGGGGGCTCCCTCCACTCCTCCTTAGACAGTATCCCATACTATGAATCTTACAAGTTCAAAATTTTACCATTGGTTGGTTAAAAACAAATTGTTTTCGTATAAAGTATACTAATTATTACAGTATTATATAAAATGAATGATGTGAACATCATTATTACGTCTAGAACGTTATCTTTTTCAAATAACGTTTTCTATGAATATAAAAATGAAAAAACAGCCATAATAATAACTGTATTACACAATAGTAATCACAAATTAATAATAATTTCAATGTATATAAGGCCTAGCATGTTTTTGATAATTCGTAAAAATAATTGAATTCTAAATTTGGGGGGGCAGGCCCTGGGCCACATTAAATCTAAGGGGAGCCAGGCCCACCCTTATCTACGTGCCTGTACATATGACTAAATTAAACTTAGAATTAACTTAATAATTCCGATTTTTGATATTTTTATTACGTTTTATTTTATGTGTAAATCTCTACGACCCGTTCCTTAAGAATTGTTGCTTACCAGAGAAGTGTTTTTATGCGCCACAAAAAAAATTGTACGTCTTTTTAAGTTTCCGACTCAATATCGTGACTTAGTCTTTAGAAGGAGAGTATTATAAGAAATAGAAACTTGTTATTGTATGTATACGTAATTGTATCTATGATTGTTAATGACGCGTGTCTATAGTTGGTAAAATTAGATAGCCGTCTTTGGGCGCTAGATAAATACTATATCAGTATAAAATAATAGTTGAGAAATTATTGTTTAATTTGTGGTATATTTTATTATTTTTAGTAAATAAAACAAAGTAACTAAATTTTTATAATTCTACACATTAATTTCTACAATTATTTTCCATCAAGCTAATATAAATATTTTAAATTTCCCCCACTAAAGTTAACTTGAAGATGCTCTAAAATTTAGAGTCTAAATTATACCCACTCTCACTACATATCCACTCGATTTAATTATATTTTTATATTTCAATTACCCTAGGTCGTTATCAACGCATCAATATTTTTGTAAGAAAAAGGCATAAAATTGGTTATTTTGAAATTAAATAAAAATTTAATGCAAAATATATCTCGATCAAAAGTTATTGAAGATGAAAAAACCTGGTGGAACACCTGTAAACAGAGTATTCAAATACTAAAGGAAATAGGCCAATTGTTGGGAACAATAAGAATAATAGAAAATATTTTCCTTATTTACTGAAATTCTATTTTTCTATTAATCTGCAATACAAAGTTTTTTATATAAAAACAATTCAATTAAAAATAATAAACTTTTAATATAAATTATTTAATTAATAAAATAAAATTATATTTAACATAATTCTTAATTATAAAGAATAAAATAATGTATGCATAAAATCGTTTTTCAATTCTTTTTTTTTTACTTAGTTTACTTACAAAAAAATTTATAGTTTGAGAGGTGACGACTTGGGCCACGCAACGGATTGTGGAGTCGCCACCCTCATGGCTCCCTTGCAAAAAGGAAAATGGGTCGCCAACCACTTAGGCGAGGGTCTTGATCAGAAAAGAACAACACCCGGACCATAAGTGGATTTAATAGAAAAAAAAATTTAAAAAAAATAAAAATAATAAGAAAACCAATAATATGCATTTCGATGAGATAAAGTGAATTAAAAAAAATTATTGATATATAAATATATACTAAAAATATAAAGTGTTGTTGTAGACTATAATACGCTGATACCTTGTAAATATATAACCAATATGTTTGTTTGATGTCACCAGTGGTGGACATACTTTAGTATGTCGAAGACCGTTACCTTAAAACTAGAGAAATATGATTTAAAGGAAAAAAAAA